ATGTGTGCTGAATACTGTACATACAAAAAAATATAATATTAAATAAACAAAGTGCAGAGTAAAGTTGGAGAATATAAGAAAATGTTCGACGATTCCAACACAAATTTCTTATACGAAAACTGTTTTTTAGTTTAGTGGAAACGCTTCAAGACGTATGGTTGATTTAAAGTTGCCGTTTGTTTAAGAATGTATGTGATTCTTTGACCGTAAATAATAAGCGATATATCTATTGTCCTAGAATATACACAAAAAAAAAATATAAAACGTTAATGATCGTGTGAAATTAATTTTGATTTTTCATGTGTTGATTTTTTTTACATGACAAGTGTCTCAATTGATTGATAAAAAGACATTGATAAAATATTATGTGCAATAAAAAATTTTTAAATCCATGTGAAGAAGTTAAAAAAATTTAAACCAAAAAAAATCATTAATCCAGTATACAATTTAGAGTTTTAAGCCACAACGATTTTACATAAATTTTGAAATTTGACGTAAGTATTTGTGATTGATAACGGACATTTTAAGTTTGAAAGTATTTGTGTGGTGTTCATTCTTATTTGGATTTTCTGGGTTGATATTGCTGCATTTAAAATTAATAACTTTATTATTGCAATTTAAATTATTATTTAAAAATTTTAATTATTTTAATTCACTGGAGATCTCCCAAAAGCTTTGAGCTGCTATATTTGATGAATCTAGGTTCGTTTGTGTTCAAATACTCACTGGGGACATACTAATTATGTATGAAACTGTGTGCAGTGGCTAATATTGTTTTTGGTCAAAAATAAAAACTGAATTTAATGATTTACAAGTCTACCGTGAACTACAAAAATGCAGATGACATCTTCTTTATAACATCCCCCTGACTTAACCCCCTTAATGTCAATTATGTCATTCAAATGAGAAATATTTAACTAATTAAGCACCAATTACTCGTGCACAGAAAAAAAACTTCCATTCTATTACTAAGTCTACATTCATAAAAAAAAAAGCATAGACAAGATATGGAAATGAAAAAAAGCTCTCAAAATCCAATAAGACTTTGAACATTAAATTCCCTTTCACATTGAGTGAGCAAGTGGATAAAAATATTCAATGATTTCATAAATGAAACGCAATATAACTGATATTACTTATGAATTATAATTCATATTTTTACAGTTCTTTATATTTTCATTTACGTGTATGTCAATATCTTATCAGAAATCACCTCATTTTCAACATGTTATGTCAATATTTGTATTTGAAAATAAAAAAATTCATTTCATTTTTATATTTAAATTCATATCGAGAGTGTTCACATTGCGATAAATGATTATCTATCTATTTGATTTCAACTTGTGACAAATAAAATATGTGTGTTCATGAATGATTTTATATTCATTTTATAGATTAAAAAAAATTATGAAGTGAATTTTATTCATACATTAAAATATTTATTGATAGATAAGGCACTTGATATGATTACATAAGGAATAATGTAAAGTTCCATCAGAATTGATTCATTTGAATTCCAAGTATGGTAATGAAATAATTATCATGAACTTTAGATTCTCCTTTTTCTGACTCATCCCATATGCGAAAACATTTTAATTTGAATGCCGTTTATTAAGCACTGAATGGAAAGTTTTCAATATGATTGAAACTTACTGTCAACAGCGCATTCAGCTATTTTTGTTTATTTCCTTTATTTTTGACATTTTTGAGTAAACATGATAAGGTGAATTTTGTTTATTGTTAATTTTAAAATTGTTTAAATCGGAAATACTGTTAATTCATTTCAAAGGCTTTATTGAACTTATCACTAATCAATAATTTATCATATCATGTGATAAACACTTTAGCAGGAATATTGTTACTCATTTTCTTTGAATTTAAAATCTAAGTCGCATATTATGATAAAAATTATTTACTTTGATTAGGGGCCATTCACTTATTACGTAACGCTTTTAGGGGGGGAGGGGGTCTAAGATTTTGTTACGGTTCAAACAAGGAAATTTTTTTTTCATACAAATTTTGTTACGAGGGGGGGGGTCTAAAAAGTCATTTTTTCGCGTTACGTAATAAGTGAACAGCCCCTTAGTGGCTGTTCACTTATGACGTCCAGGGGAGTCATCAAGAAAGAACAATAGAAATTCCTGGAAATCAATTGTTCTTTTTTGAAAAATTACCGTTAATTTCGGACGTAATAAGTGAACAACCCCTTATTGAATAATTCTTTTCTAAGAACAAGATTGTAAAAGATATGACAATTTGGTGCTTACTTATTGATTTTCAACTTCAAAAGGCCTTGAAACAACTGAATTACAAAGATTTGATAATGAATTAGAAGTCCAAATGAGAGATTAGTTTACTTTTTGATTCACCCTCTAAGATTCAATTTGAGTCATTATCTTGAACACCTTTCTATGCTTTAATCCATGTGAATCTCTAATCTTAAAGCTTCTTCAGCAATTAACGTGGATCTTCTTTCAAAAAAGCTATTAATTAACCATAAAAGAAGACATCTTTAGATTGATTTCAATGACATACGAATACCGAAACCCATCAACTTTTTTCTCAATAATTTGCGCAAAAAAATTCTCTAAAATTGATCTCATGATGATTAATAAAGATTTTTTTAAAGAACCATGAATAAAAAAATTGTGAAGAACAAACCGACGGGAGTTAAATGAGAATTGAAAAATGTTGAGAAGAAATTGATTAAATTACAGGTTTTATTGATTCTCCCGACAGAGCGACAGAGAACACCCTGAAAATAGCCATGCGATTACTATAAATTATTATAATTAAAAATTATTGGAATTAAGTATAACTAAAAAACAATAATCAATCGCTACGGCTGCATGAAATCAATGAATCTTTTTTTTTGTTCCAAAGCATAATCAACAAGTAGAAGGCACAGTAATCGATTATGTGTACATTGCGTTCGTACATATATATCTCATTCATATTTTCTTTCTTTCTTTCTTTTCATTTTTTTCATACATAAATTTCTCATATGAGAATTTTCATAAGTAGACGGGTAAGAATGAAATTTAATGAAGAGACGATGCTCATCTAATAATAATTAATCGTTGAAAAATTTAGAAAGAGTTGAAAAAAATTCATTGAGTGAGGTAAACAGTAGTTCATTCAACAGGCCCAGGCATTAATTCATTCTCCTTCATCTACGTATACGTTTTAAGTCCGGTTTTTCTGTAACGAAATTATTTAAATTACTTCTTCACATAAATTCACTTGCCATACCATGTTTGCTTGATAGAAGTCAAAGCACAGCAGCAGCATTGAAATAATCAATCAATGTATTATGCGAACGTGTGAACTATTCATAAAAAAAGAAAACATTTCGTAGCCATTGACGAGCAGCGGCAGCAGCAGCGATTATAATAACAACAACAACATTGGAGATCTGATGATCATTAAAGCTTAATGATAATTACAAATTTGACACGGCAAAAGAGAATTCTGATCTGTGGCGATCAAAATTTGAATAAAATGAAAACTGTTTTGAAAGGAGAAAGAAAGAAGAGTCAAAATTAATTGAGCGACTAGTGTCGCCTAGTCGATGGATAAGGCGCATCCCAAACTTATGTGTTTTTGTACATTGACCTTGAAATTGAGACGAAGTGCGGAGTTTTTAAATCCGTAATTAAATAAAATTAAAGTGAGCTCTATTAAACTAATACGCTCTTTATTTCCTGCTCTGATTAAATTTATTTTGTGGATTTTAAAAAAGTTGTCCTTTCTCCACGTCTCAAAATGTTATGTCAACTTATCAAATCAAGTTGAGAGGGGATTGCTACTGGGAAAATTTATTTAAATCTCAAAATTCCGTCATAATTCAAATCATTTATTTAACGACTTCCCATTAAATAAATATGCAACAACAATTCGTTACAACATATCCAAAGTGTAGCTCATGCCATAGAAAATTAAGCTAAAATCATAACACAAATTAAAAATGCTTGATGAACCTTAACCGCGTGGAAGATAATATGTATGTGGAATAATAGATCGACATACATTTGAACACAACGACAACGAAGACGGTGATGATGAAGGCAGTGATGAAATACAAGAAGAAAATTGACTTCCAAAAAAATCAAATTATATTCAAATTTGTTCGCCGTTCATTTCTTTGTTCGAGTTATAAATTTTTTTCGTGTGTTCCTTTTTTTCATTCATAAATGTAGAGAAGAGATATATATCATCACAATAACATGGGATGCAAACTAATTTCATATCATTCCGTGTTTTCTGTTTGCTACCGCTTTAATGCCAACAAATAAACAACACAAAAAGGTTTCGCTTTTTTTTCTCTTTTCTTAAGAAGTCATTTGAGTTTCAAAAAAAAATTGGTTATAGCCGCTGTGGGCTCACTCTCTGATCACGCTGGTTACCTGCTGAGATCACAAGACTACTTATTTTCTTATAAAAGACTTGCTGAAATCTTTTTATTTTCATTCATTTATTTTGCGCTTCCTTTCATTGTGATCTCTTTTATGTTGTTGCTTTTTTTCGTGGATAGACGAGGAACTGAATGTTGTGTTTATTACTCAAGAAAATAATATATAATTAATTTATATTATCACCAAATTGACATCACACAAACATTTTACAATGAATTAATGCTTTATCTTATCATTAGTTACACCTGCTGAAATGGCAATAAAAAAATTTAAATTATGAAGGAATTAACGATAATTGAGTACGTAGTCAAGGGATGGCAACTTAAAATTGAACATAATTACTCTTTTATGATCTGTGAAATGCGATTTACACCTGACTCACACTATAAAGTATGTAATTCCGGTGTACTAACATTCCAATTTATTAACAGTTTTGGTTGGAAGTGATATCTACGAATTTTGAAGCTATTATTACCAACAATCAATCAATTATTTTAAATAAATAAATAGGAAAAAAGAGTTTCACCTTAATTATCTTCTTCATGCAATTTATGAAATATTATAACACCGTATCTTCTATAATAGCTACAATACAATCATATACAATAAATAAATGATATGAACTACCCAAATGATTCATTGAATAGTGATATCGAGAGAAAGAAAAAGAAAATTAGAAACATACGTTCGTGGAAAATGCTTGAAAGAAAAATTGTTGGCGATTAACTATGCCATGCACGTTCGCAACAACATGATACTGAAAAGTAGAAATTTGTTTGATAGCGGCGCCTAATACTAAAGAGAGTCCATATACATTGACCAAACCATATCAATACTTTTGGTGCCGGCATTTTGGAATCATAAGAATGCCATGTTCACTCTAGATGACTGATTGGGATCATATCTTGAAACTCTGTAGTGTTATACTTTGTTTCTTATTGCTGCTTATTAATTTATGGTATATAGCCTTATCTAATCTATCCTTTTGAACACCTTTTTTTGTTTTTTTTTCAAATTAAGGACATACTTTCAACATAGTTCTGGTTTTTCTTAATTATTTTGCTGTCTGATTGAATTGTCGACGAAACGATTTTATAACTTTGATTAGAACCTCGAATACCACAAGTCAGATATCGAAATCCTACGAAAATTTGCCCTCAAGTCGTTCCTGCGTCACCATAGCGTGGGATTTCTCGATTATCCGACTTGTGCTATTCGGGAACAGTTTCTGCTGCATATAAAAACTAATTTGGGTAATTAGAAGTTATAAATAAGCATTTGAGGTTAGGGTTGTCTATTAATGACCAAAAATGCGCTTTATCCACAAACTTTTCAACCTCTTTTCTTAATATAAATGAATATAACACACAAAATGAAATAAAAATGACCGATTGTTACATAAAAGCTCCTCTTTTCTTCTACTTCCATTTCAGGTTTTTTTTTTCACTTCACAAGTATCATACAAAATTATCACAAGATCCAACAATGGAAGAAGTCTTCATTGAATGAATACGAAGCTTAACTTCATCAATATTACTTCAACTTTATATCTCTTTTTGCAATACAAAATGAGAAGTTATCATTAAAAATGTGTGTTTCATATGAGTTTCTTCAATTGATGAGAAACTGTCAAAAATAGTTGATAGCATTTGTAGTAGGTACATTAAAACAATCATTTTGAATGACTAGAGACCGTAACAAACTTGGTTGAAGTAAATATGATTGCGTAAAGTGAAGTGAAAACGCGATTTTGTTTTATTTATTCATCAATTATTATTTTGTGTTTATTTCTTCGTGCAGCATAAGAAGCACAAAATAAAATAAAAAAAATATCAAAACGAGGCAAGCAAAAATAGCAAAAAAAAAAAAATCAAGATAGACAGATAAATGAATAGACATATAAAAGTGAGCAAGTAAATGTGTGTATAGTGATGAAGTGAAGTGATCATTGTCTCATTGCTATGCCGCTTTTGGTAACTCAAAGAGATAGAAGCTTCATTGCGGCAGGCGATTATCAAAAACTCTATGGAACATTTCTTCATAATCAATATCTATTAGACATGTCCAAGTGTAGAGATTTATATACGAATGGAAGAAATGATGATGCCGAGAAGGAGGAATCGAGGAATGAAGGTAATTTGCAATTTCTTAAAATCCAGGGTTGGACGAAAGCTGGTTTAAGGCACAATTTAATTTCTTTTAATTCTAAGTCATAGATTTATGAAATTTAAAGGCAGACACTTACTCTTTTGAGATTTACAAAACCAGATTCTCCAACTCTGCATCCCTAATACATGCTCATCGATATGATTTTGACTACTATTAACCCAATTAACACTCACTGATTATAAATTTTCAAATACTGCGTAAATGAGCTATTTCCTTTCGAAAATTTCAAGTTTTGACAAAAAAAAATTTTCATAACGTAAAATATTTTTGGCTAATACCGGTAATTGACCGTACTAGAAGCTTACATTCAAACACTTAAAAATATTTTTAACAAGTTTTGTTTCCGCTGATCGATTGCTTATAGAAAATGTGTTATGCTTCTAATATTTTTCTTTTTGTTTTGTTAATTGACTTATGTCAATTAGCAGCTCAAACGTAACCCGCACACAAATAATCAGTGATGAATCTTGTTTCGACACAGGAAGTTCCTATTTCTTTTCAATATATTATTAAATGTTTGGGAAGGAAGAGAAATGAATGAAAAAAAAGCTTTCAAAATTAAAAAAATTAATCAACAACGGCTGAATTTTTTTGGGGAGGAAGATACCATAAATGCAACATTATGCTCTTGCGAAATGCCCAGGTATTCTCTCAAGAACAAATTTGGTTTTCTTAAAATTCTCTTTTGACCCATTTCGTTCAGTTGGCGCCTTCAAACAATTTAATCTCTTTAAAGTTGCTAAGTTTCGGCCTTTTGTTGTGCTCCTCAATGTTTTATGACCGAACTACAAAGAAAAAGAAATTCTTTTAATGAAAATTCTCAGGAATATGTTTTGGAAGATGCAAGGAACCAAAAATAAAATGCTATAAAATGCAAAATGCTTTTCCTTCTCTTTCTTTGTCTATCCATCCTTCTTTCTCATGTTCGTTTGACTAATTTTTATGGATCATTTGAAAAATTGGTTTAAAATGCGGTTTGTGAAATCTTAATTTGTTCTGAGGAATTAAAAAATCATTTCTTTCCTCCATTGCGGCTTTTAAAGCTTATTAAAATCATGCTTTAATTTCCCATACATACATTATAGCTATCTCTCTGAAGTTTAATAATTTAGCGTAATTTTCTCATAAACTTATCCGCATTTATCTCTTGTTTTGACTTGATGAGTTTTATGTATGTTCGTCGTTCTCAAATTGACGGCTTTATATTATTGAATTTGAAAAATGTTTGTAGTTTCGGTCTAATTTAAAATTATTTAAGAATTAGATCTTTTGATCTATAGGCTAAGATCTAACAAGCATTCAAAGTTGTGAAAATCATGTTGGTTCTTTAGATCAATGAATTTAAATAGCTGTACTAAACTTACAGTACTGTTGGATACAATTTTAAGTTTGTTCTTTAAACCTTGTCTACAAAAGTCTTTAATTTATTCTATAAAATAGGACTTTAAGCTACAACTTTGGTAAAAAGTTAATCTTCCGAGTTTCAAACTCATATAAACTATATTTCGGCAATTTAGTTCCATATCAAGATATCAAGCAACTTCAGTTCATCAAAATCAAGCCAAAATGCCTAAAACTATTCACAGCATAAGAGGTAGCATAATATTCATGCTAATTCACTTTCATACAATAACGATCTGCATGAAATAAGATGAGAGAAAGAGGAAAAATCAATAACTTATTGATGGTGCTTGTGCAGCGTTATAAGATGCAATTCTCGGGGCAAGGTTGCAAATTTTTTTTCCTCATTTTTTCCATTCCTTAGTTTCGTAATGCCTTTAAATATTTCTACACTTACTTCATTTAACAACACATGACGTCATTTATGCTCACTTCCATAAGACTTTATTGTTTAATATCTTCTTTCCTCTTTTATCGACATGAGAATATACTCGTAAGGAAAAGACAAAGACGTTTGTTTGGTGCACTATGCTTAATGTTTTTTCCTTCTAGCTCCATCTCACTCACTCTTTCATCTCTCATGATTGCATTATCGCGATAATCTATATTTTTTTTTTCGGCTGATCAACAGCAATTATTTTACCTCTTTACCTCAATGGTTGGATGGGCTTTTATGCATGAAATGAAATCTCATTTTATTCATGCATTTTTTGAAGAAGAAAATAATTGGAAAGATAAATGATAACATTGGTTTTTTGGCATCGTTACGATAAGCGTAAGGTAATGCAATTTTTTTGGGATTTTCGAAAATTTTGAGGTTAAGTTGCATTGGCGCATTTTTTTCTAAGGTATGAAAGAGTCGGGTTTTCATTTTTCAAGGTTAAAATCAGAAAATATGTTGTGAGCTATTTGGATCTATGTTTCGTCATCAACTTCTAAAATAATAATTGAATCTGAGGGAATTAAACCCATACCCGGAAACAAAGTGGATTACAGACTAACAGTCAATTACTTAATAATTTGAGTCTGTAATCACAAATCGGCATTATCTCCATATTCTTGGTCCGAAACCTTAAATTCTGATTTATAGCATCATCATAAGAAGTATGGACAAAATGCTATTAAATTTTGAAACTCCACAGAAAACTTTATTTGAGAAGCCAAAGAATTCCTCGAATTAAAGGATAGAGAAAGGAAAATTCTTGGAAAGTGTCAAATGAGCTTAATGATATTATGCTGTAAAGAAACGGGAGATTTTAAAAATGAGATTTCCATCATACATGTATAGAATGTTCACATATATGCGAATTCGTGATGGAAAAACATCACAATAGATTTTTAATTATGGCTCACAAAGGAGGAATTACGATGTCAGAATTAATTGATAATGATAATAAAGATTAAAAATATTAATGTTCACACTAAAGTTAATTATTTATTAATTTGAAATTATTGTGTGAAATCTAATAAATTCATGGTAAAAAATGTGCAACTACTGCTGTTGTTAAGCTGCAGAAACTGCAAATGTGTGTATTTCCCATTTGTAATTATTTGCATGCGTATGCTTAAATAATTTCTTACTCTTATTTCAACTCCTCTATAGGGTAAGAGATAATTAAAGAAAGGCAATTAAATATTGCAAGCGAGAAAACTGCCTGCTCAAGTTCCATCGTTAATTCCCAAAGAAACTCTTTTACTTCTTGTTTATCTTTTATTCCAATATTTCTTGAGAAATGAATTCAATCATTCAGTTTGTCCTTGATTTTTATTGGGGATATAGATGCAGATGGAGTTGAAGTTGATACAGATGAGATTTCCAGATGAGTGATGGCTCTGTGACACAGAATTGCTCCTAGAAGCTAATGGTGAATGATTCTAGTAGCGAGGAGGTATTACCTAATAACGATGACTGTAGATTATTACCTGCAATCTTTTAAGCATCATACAAATCCTATTTAATGATTGAGAGAAAAGTCTCTCGTGGGAATTGAACCCACGTCTTCACAAAAAGAGTTACAGATATTCGGTCTGTTGTCTAACCATTCGCGCTATAGATGCCTAAATCTCACACTGGCGATTTCGCCTATATATGCCTAAATACCCCAGATTCTACTATGCTTTGACACCACATTACAGACATGTTGATTTGACTTAATCAATAATTCAATTAGAAGTCACAAGACACTTCTAATGAGTCCTCAATTAATTTTTGACTTTTACCCAAAATGCGCTGAAAATTCAAATAAATTGGAAATTAAATCCTTCCTATCTTTCAATAAGAATTTGTGTAGAGAAGCGATTATTTTATTTAATTCACTGTGGTTATTTATTTGCAGCTCAATGTCTGATATGTTCATTTTAAAAGAGAATTGAGCTATTATAAGTTATTTATGAGTGATGTAAAATACATGAATATTGAAATAAACTTTACTTCCTTTCCTTTATTATTATATGTACATACAATATGCATTAAGTTATTTTTGAATAATAAAACATGGCTGCATTAAGCACTTTTATGTTTGTTCTTACCTCTCCTTGTGTGCTCTCACTCAAATTAAATAATTATCATTATATTCTCTTATTTTATTATTATTACGATTATTACATTTATTAAAATTCGTTTGGTTTTCGGATTACGTATGCAAATATGAGTGCACATATAGATAGGCTTACACTTCTACACACAAATTGTACGTTCATTACCGTGTAAATTATGCTCATTCTCATTTACTTTTATTTTTTCCATTTCAACGAAAAAGAAGAAGTTATGCAAAAAGCAAACGAGAATTAAGTAATCTATATGCATGCATACAATGTGCATATGAATATTTATAGGAAGAAAATTTATTTTTATGACACAGTTTTTCTTTATTTTTTTCATGCAAATATTTCAATATTAAAATTTGATTAAGTTTTTGAGAGATTTTTAAGGCTCTGGGGCGCATTTTTATAAAATTCCTAAAGTGACTCAAAATCGCAGAGTCTTCCTTTAACTCATCAAAGAATGACAAGTTCTTCAGTTCACAAATTATTCCACATGGGTACCCTTTGTACCTAATTTACAAGCTCAAAGAATTTAAAATGGTTTCAAATCATGCTCCAACAAAGAAAATTACGAATTTTACCAATGATTATTGCAGATAGGTTCGAAGTGCATATCTGTAGTAGATAGGCCTGAGCATAAGGCTCACTGTGAAACTGGTTGGATGTGTATAACGAATAGCCGAAGTAAGATAAGTCCCTCGGTAGCCGAACGGCAGGGATCTCTTCTCAAGTTGTCAGAGATCGCTTCTTTTGAGGTCGTGGGTTGGATTCCCATCGAACTCGAAGTGTTTCACTTTATAGGCAGTTATAGGGACATCAACAATCATCTTCTAAATATAAAAGTATATTAATATAGACTAAGTCTAGAGTTTGACATAGTGCTGAACAATGAAGCTATGTCTTCAAAAGAACCGCTCGAATACAGAAGATGCGAAATAATAAGTTCAAGCTTTAGTGAAGCTGATATAATGGTTGTTTATGAGCTGCTGTTACTCATAAAATTTACGTGTTGAAGAAAT